TTTTATAACTTTTATTATAAATAATTTTTTATTATTTTAAAAAGATTTAATATTTTAAAATGGTATATATATTTTAAATTATTATTTATTTTATTTTATATTAAAATTTTAAATTAAAATTTAATAAAATTTAAAAAAAACTTTTTATTATTTTTTTTTATTAATAATTTCTTTTTTATTTTAATTATTTTTTTTTATTATTATTATTTATTGGAAAAAAAATTAAATTAAGGTATTTTTTTATATTAAACTTTATATTTTTAAAAGTTATTTTTTTTTTTATTTAATTAAAAAAAAAGTTTATAAAAAAATTTAAAAATTTTATATTTTATAAACGTATAATTAAATTAACTTTTAATTAAAATTTTTTTAAAAAATATTTTCGAAGTAAATATTAAAAATGTTTTTTAATTTAATTTAATATTTTAAAACTATTTTTAATTTAAACCGATAATATAGATTTAATATATTTTAATAATAATTATATTTTTATTTTATATAAATTATAAAATTATAAAATAATTATATAAAATATATTTAAAATTGGTATTATTAATTTTGTTATTATTAATTTATTTAATTGGTTAATTTAATTATATAAATAAATAAAAAAAATTTATAAGTTTTTTTAATCTTTTATACGTTTAATAAATAAAGATTATAAAAATAATTAAAATTAATTTAATTAATAATATTAAACTTTATAAATAATATATAATATTATAATATAAATATATTAAGTTAATATAACAGCTTTAACTAAATAAATTATTTAATTTAAATAATAAATTAAGTAATTTAATTTAATATTTTTTTAAAAGGTTTAAAAAATAATTATATATTTTTTTAATAATAATAAAATATGATAAATAACAATTATTAAATTAAAAAATATTGTTTAAAAATAATACGAAGTTTTTTTAAACTTTTAAATTTAATAAAAGTTTTAAAAAAATTTATTAAAAAAGGTAATAATTTAAATTATTTAAAAAAAAAATTAAATTAATAATTTTTTAATTTAAAAATATATTAACCCGATATATATAAATAAACGTTTTTGGAAATAATTAAAAAAATTTTAAACTTATATAAAAGTTATATTAGTTAAATTTATTTTAAAATTAATAATTAATTAATTTATTTTTATAAATTTAATTTTATAAAATATTAAAAAAAAAATAATATTAAAGTTTTTTTTTAATTAATTTTTTTAAAATTATTAATTAATAATAATAAAGATATTTTTGTTTAAATATTTTAATTTAAAAGTTAAAATTAAAGATATTTTATTAATATAAACGTTATAAAACGTTTAAGTTAAATAAATTTTAAAAAATATTTATATTTAATTTAAAAAAGTATATATTAGATTTTTTATTATATTAAAAAGAAATAAACAAGAATTAAAGTTATTTTATATATCGGTAAAAGTTTTAAAAAAAAACTTAAAAAACTTTAATAATAACGATAATAATTAAAAATTATAAAGTTTATTTTAAAAATTATTTTATAAACTTTTGTTTTTAAAACTTAATAAACTTAAATAAAATTCGGAATTTTAATATATAAATAATATTAAAAAATAATTATTATAAACGTTAAAAAAGTTTATTAAATTTATTTTTATAATTATTAATTTAATATATTTAAATAAATTATTTATATATAATAATAAAGATTTTATTAAGTTTTAAATTTAATAAATAAAAATTAAATTATATTTGGAAATTTATATAAAAAGTTTTTATAAAAATTACGTTTATATTAATTAAATAAAATCATTATTTATAAATAAAGTTTAATTATAACATTAATAATATTTTAATTAAATTAAACGGTTTTACTTTATAAATTAATAAATTAATTATATATTAATTTTATAAAAATAATTTAAAAACCTTTTAAAAAAATATAAAAGTTTAAAAAAAATATATAAATTTAAATATATAAAAAATGTAATTTAATATATTATTAAATTTTTAAATTTTAATAAAATTATTTAATAGTTTAAAATTACCTTTTAAAATTATATTACCAAAACTTTTTTTAATAAAATTATTAAATTAATATATTTTAAATAAGGTAAAATTTTAAATAATAATAAAAAATTTTTTATTATAATTTAAAAAGCCAATTAAATTTATAAAAATATATTAATTAATTTAAGATTTTTAATAATAAAAAAAAAGTTTATTTTAATAACGGAATATTTAAAGTTAAATTAATAAAATTGTGGTAAAAAAACTTATTTTAATTTAAATTAAAATTAATTTTTAAAAAGTAAAAATTGGTTTAAATTTATTAATAAATTAAAGTTTAATTTTAAAAATAATTAATAAGTTTTAAATAAAAAAACTTTTTAAAAAATTAATTAAATAAATATTAATTAATATAAAAAAAATAAAAAAAATATATTAATAATATAAATGTAATATTTATAATATTTTTATTTATTTTATTAAAAAAAATATTAATAATAAAAAATTATTAATATCTTTAAATTATAAAGTTTTTTTAATTAAATAAAAATATAATAATAATAAATTGTTGGATTAATTGAATTTAGTTGAATTATATGTAATTACGTCATACGAGAAAAGAGGGGAAAAGAGAAAAGTTGCCAGTGATGGGATATCATTACGTAAGGATAGTCACGTGGTGACACGTGACTATTCCCCACACAAAAGGGAATTCTTTCTAGGTAGCACCCACACACACAATTCGTAATCATTACAACATCAATCAATCAGTACAACAACAGTCATCGTGATAGCCTCGTTTCGTATTTGTATTTCATCTCCTTTCTATTCCTTTCCTATTCGTTACGTTATTCCTTTCTATTACCTAATCCGTACGGATACCTTGTCTTACCTACATTGATCAATGGTTGGTTGAAAGACAAGACCATAGATCAACAAGGTTAAAAAGAATCATAAAAAGAAGCGCTAGACGTTCTTTTTTTTCCTTTTAACGAGAAAAGATAGTGGCCTAAATGGCCACTATGCTACCTTAGGATCTCGGAGCTTTTAAATAAGTTAAAGGATCTGCGTTCCATCACGCAAATTTTACAGCACCCTCGCTATATTCACAACCACCCAACATGGCCTTAATATGGGACAAATATATCGACGATAATATCTCAGGCATCGACCTAACCATCGACCTTGACAACTCCGAACTAGACAAAGCAACAGCAGAGCAAATCAATACGTATTGTGCGGAAAGCTTTGCGTACTATTTCGAGTACTACGACGACAAATGCGACGAGGACGCATGGGACAATTTTAAACAATTTTTTGCGGAATGGCAAGTAAGGCACTTTTAAAAGGCAAACCGTTTGCTCCAGTCACTAATGGCGGACTATTTCCTATATTACGGAGTGTATTCTAACGAAAAGGAGACTACCTTAAAGAGACTAGAAACAATCGCCAACGCTAAAAAATTCCCGGAATTCCCACCCAAGCCTATCCCATAGCCAACAACAATACCGAAACCGATCCCATAAACAATTCCGTTAAGGCCTGATAAGCTTGTTACGTATACCTGACCGATGAGATTACCACAAGGCATTGCCGACCATGTTAAGGTATATTATAACGACAACGAATACAAGTACGAGGATGAAAGGTATGACCTGAAGGATGGCATACCGGACAAAGAGATTAAGACCGTTAAAGATCTTCATTATAAGACTGGAATCGGGTGATTGTATCGAATCCACCACAATATACGATTGTCTCTGATTAGCCCCAGCCGACAATCCTCACGATTCGACAAAATGACCTCGTCCCCAGCCAGACGATTCGACCGAAAATAGCCTCGTCCCCAGCCAGACGATTCACGATACGAAAATAACCTCGTCCCCAGCCAGACGACCCTTACTTCGACCGCTATTCAGCCTAGCCCAGCCTGCCCGAGCTAGCCCGAGACTATTACATGCTATTACGATAGATTGATACCTATTGACAATTACGTCATAGTATAAAAGAGACGGATTAAAGGCAAAAGAAGAGAAGAAATTGTCAGTGTTGGATTAGTTGAATTGTATGTAATTACGTCATACGAGAAAAGGAGGGAAAAGAGAAAAGTTGCCAGTGTAGGCATGTCAATTAGTCATGCCATTACGTAAGGATAGTCACGTGGCAACACGTGACTAATCCCTACACAAAAGGCAATTCTTTCTAGGTAGCACCCACACACACAATTCGTAATCAATACAACATCAATCAATCAAGACAACAACAGTCATCGTGATAGCCTCATTTCGTATTGTCTTTCCTTCCCTCTCCTATTTCGTTACGTTATTCCTTTCTATTACCTAATCCGTACAAATACCTTGTTTTACCTACATAAATAATTAACTTTTTTATTTACAAAAAAAGTTAAAATAAATGTAATAATAAAAAAAATTAATTAATTTTACTTTATTATTAAAATTAATAATAATAATTTGGATTTTTAAAAGTTTTTTATATTATATTTTATAAAATGTTAAAATAAAAATAAAATACTTATTTATACCGGTTTATTGTAGGCATGTCAATTAGTCATGCCATTACGTAAGGATAGTCACGTGGCAACACGTGACTAATCCCCACACAAAAGGCAATTCTTTCTAGGTAGCACCCACACACACAATTCGTAATCATTACAACATCAATCCAATCAGTACAACAACAGTCATCGTGATAGCCTCATTTCGTATTGTCTATTCCTTTCCTTTCCTATCGTCACGTTATTCCTTCCTATTACCTAATCCGTACGGATACCCAGTCATACCTACATTGATCAATGGTTGGTAGAAAGACAAGACCATAGATCAACAAGGGCAAGAAGCGCAAGACGTTTCTTGACGAGAAGAGATAGTGGCACTGGCGGCCACTATGCTACCTTAAAGGTATTCGGGGTTTAACTTGTAAGCCCACAATACCTGCGTTCCATCACGCATTTTACAGCAACCTCGCTGTATTCACAATCACGCAAAAATTTTCACACCCAACATGACCTCTTTACAGCCCGATACGGCCTCAATATGGGACAGATATATCGACGATGATATCTCAGGCATCGACCTAACCATCGACCTTGACGACTCCGAATTAGACAATGCAACGGCGGATGAAATCAATACGTATTGTGCGGAAAGCTTTGCGTACTATTTCGAGTACCACGACGACAAATGCGACGAGGATATATGGGATGATTTTAAAGATTTTTTTACGGGATGGCAAGCAAGACACTTTCAAAAGGCACACCCCTCGCTCCAGAGACTAATGATAGACTATCTCCTGTACCACGGAGTATACTCTGAAAAGAAGACCACCTCTGAGAGACTAGAAACAATCGCCAACGCTGAAAAATTCACGAAATTCCCATCTGATAAAAGCACATCTCTATCAGAACGTTACCCCGATAGCTTCATCTCAATGACTAACCCGTATTACGTCGACAAACTCAACAAAATCACGGCCGAGATATTACAAATACCCTGGATCCCAGCAAGCCGAGTACCTGCCCGTCCAAAAACAACATCCAGACCACCTTGGATGCAAGCGATACAGCCAGATGAGATAGATGTGGAACAATCAACAGTACCGGAGCCGATTCTACAGGCACAGCCGATCCCGCAATCGACGATGCCGGAGCCGATTCTACACGTACAACCGATCCCACAAGCAGTCCCGTCAAGGCCTGATAAGCCTGTTACGTATACCCGACCGATGAGACCACGAGGCATCACCAACCATGTTAAGGTGTATGATGATAACGAATACAAGTACGAGGATGAAAGGTATGACCTGAGGGATGGCATACCGGATAAAGAGATTAAGATCGTCAAGGATCTTCATTATAAGACTGGAATCGGTTGATTGCATCGAATCCACCACAATACACGATTGTCTCTGATTAGCCCGAGTCGACAATCCTCACAATTTGACCAGAAACAACCTCGTCCCCAGCCAGACGATTCACGATACGAAAATAACCTCGTCCCCAGCCAGACGAGACCCTTACTTCGACCTTTTTAGCCAGCCCTAGCCAGCCCGACGAGAGACCATATTAGATGAAAAGATCTGACGAGATCTAATCAGATAAAAGGTCTAATGCGAGATCAAATCAAACGAAGAGATCTGACGAGATCTAATCAGATGAGAGATCCAACGAGAGATCCGACCACCACCTTTACCTCGACCGTTTCAGCCTAGCCCAGCCTGCCCGAGCCAGCCCGAGCCTATTACATGCTATTACGAGACCTATTGACAATTACGTCATAGTATAAAAGAGACGGATTAAAGGCAAGAAAAGAGAAGAAATTGTCAGTGTTGGATTAGTTGAATTGTATGTAATTACGTCATACGAGAAAAGAGGGGAAAAGAGAAAAGTTGCCAGTGTAGGCATGTCAATTAGTCATGCCATTACGTAAGGATAGTCACGTGGCAACACGTGACTAATCCCCACACAAAAGGCAATTCTTTCTAGGTAGCACCCACACACACAATTCGTAATCATTACAACATCAATCCAATCAGTACAACAACAGTCATCGTGATAGCCTCATTTCGTATTGTCTATTCCTTTCCTTTCCTATCGTCACGTTATTCCTTCCTATTACCTAATCCGTACGGATACCCAGTCATACCTACATTTATTGCAATTAAATAATTAATTAAAAAATTTAATAAATTATAAAAAAAAAAATAAAAGAAATTTTATTTAAAAAAAAGATTTTTAATAAAAATAATAATAATATTTAATAAATAAAAGTTTTTTATAAAAATATTATTTAATATAAAAGTAATTATATTTATTATATTTATATTTAAAACTAAATTATAAAATCTTTTTAAAATAAAAAAAAACATATTAAAAATAATTATATTTTTTAATGTTATTTATATAAAAAAAAAAGGTTATTATTATATAAATTCTTTGGTATTTAAATATTAAATAAAATATTATATTTATTTAAATTTTAAATTTAATATTATAAATAATAAATATAATTTTATTTTCTTATAATAATAATTAAAAATTTATTAATCTGTAAATATTTTCTTAAATTTTAATAAAATATATTTTTTATTTAAATATTATTAATATTATTATATAAAAAAGATTATTATTAAATATATTATATTAATATAATATAATTATAATAACTTTTTTTTAAAAATATTTAAAAAATTTAAAAAATTTATATTTATAATAATTAAAAAGGTTAAAAAATATTTTCCCAAATATTAATTATAAAATTATATTATTAATTTAATAAAAAAAAAATGTTTTTATAAAGCCCTTTTATATCATAAATAAAAAAAAATTTAATATTTTTAAATTATAGTTAAAAAATATGTTTAATATAAAACATATTTATAAATTTACTTTTTTTTATGTATTTTTAATATTTTTTATATTAAAACTTAATTTTAAAAATTTATTTTATTTAATGGTAAATTATTGAAAATTAAATATAATAATAATATTTATATGTTATTTTATTTTATTTATATTAAAAATGTAAAATTAATTTTAAATTTTATAATAATTTATTAAAATAAATTTAAAGGTTAAATTTAATTTAATTTATATTTAATAAAGTAATAAATGGAAAATAATATTTAAATATAAATATAAATTTTATAAATATTTTATTATATTTTTTAAATTAAATAATACGTTTATTATTTTTTAATTTATAATAAATAATATTTTTAAAAATATAATAAATAATAAATTATTAATATATATTAATAATTTATTTATATATATTACCATTTAAAAAAAATATAATAAAATAATTAAAAAAGTTTTAAAAAAACTTATTGCATATTATTTTACAATTACTTTATATAAGTGTAAATAAATAATTTAAAAAGTAAAATTTTTAAGTTATATTATTAATTTTTAAAGTATTTTTATATTTAAAAATAAAATTAAATATATTATAAAATAAAAGTTATTAATTAATTTTAAAAAGTTACAATAATTTATAAATTTTATAAATTTTTATAAATAATTTATTAAAAAATTTTTAATAATAGTTAAATTTATTATAAAAATTAATAAAAGAAATAAAAAAGATTGGAAATAAATACCAAAAATAAATAAAGTTTTTAAAAATTTAAAAGTTAAATTTATATTAGTTTTAATTTTTATTTATTTTAATCTTAAATTATAAGTCTTTTTTAAAATTAATATTTTAAACTTTATTATTAAAGTTATTTTTTTTAAAAAAAATATAAAGGTAAAGTTTTAATTTATGGCTTTTTATTTTTAAAAATTAATTTTAATAAAAATAAATTATAAAATATATAATAAAGAATTATTTATAATTATTAATTTTTTTAATTAATAAAAATATTATTTTAAAAAAATATAATATTAAATTAAAATATTTTTTAATTATTAAAATTTATTTTATTTTATAATTATTAAAATTTTAAATAAAAGATAAATAAAATAAACATAATAATTTTTATTATATTAATTTATTATTAATTATTATTTTAAAAAGTAAAATAAAAAAGCTAATATTTTATTTAAATTATTATAATATTAGTTTAAAAAAAAAAAATTAAATATTAACCGGTTATATTAATATTATAAAAGAAATATTTTTTATATTTATTTAATTTTAATATAATACATTTAATAATAATTATTTTTATATTAAATTATTTAAATAACTTTTTAATTTTAAAATAATTACTTAAATTTATAAAATAAATTAAAAAAGTAAAAAAAAATAATTTATTATATATAAAAAAATAATAATTTAAATAATAATTTTAAATTACAAAATAATTTTTTATATAAAAAAAGTTATTTATAAATATTTTAAATATTTTAAAAAAAGGTTATAAAATTAAAATATAATATTTTAATAATAAAATATATAAAAATAAATAAAATTTTAAAATTTATTATATAAAATTTTTAATGGTTTAATATTAAAATTATTATATAAAATTTTATAAAAAAATGTTTAAAATGTTAATGTAATAAAGTAAATTAATATATTTTATATAATTTATTTTAATTTATAAAATTATATTATATATTATAATATATTATTGTTATAAATTTTATTATTAATTTATTTTTATTTAATAATTGTAATTTTATTTAAATTATAATTAATTTATTTATTAAAATAATATATTTTATATTTTTTAAAATAAAAAAAAAAAAATTGTAAATTTAATTAAAATTTTTATTAAATTTTATTAAAAATTATATAAAATTTTTTTAAATATTATTTTTAATTAAAATTTTAAATTTATTGTTTATTTATAATAAAACTTTTTTAAATTTATAAGTATTAAATTATAAATAAATATAACTTTTTATTTTTAAATTAACGGTTAAATAAAATAATTTAATTAAATTTTTAAAATTTATTTTTAAACGTTTATTAATTATAAAATAATTAATTAAAAAGATTTATTATTAACGGTAAAATTTATATATAATAATTTAAAATTAATATTATTATATATGATATTATTTTATATAAATTATAGTTTTTATTTTATAATTTATAATTTATTTACCGGTATTTTTCGAAATTTAAGTAATTAATTATATATATATTAAATAAAGTAAATTTATATTAAAATATAATAATATTTAAAAAAAAATTGTTAATGTATAAAAGATTAAATTAATAAAAAAAAAAAAAAAGTATTAAAGTTTAAAAAAAGTTAATTAATTATATTAAATGGTAAAAATATTAAAATTAAATAATTTGTTAAAAAGTTAAATAAAAAAATGTTAAGGTTTTTTAAAATTTAAAAAGTAATTTTTTTTATTATTGTTAAATTTTATTTATTTAAAAGGTAAAAAATTTATAATTTATTTTATATTTTATTTATTAAATTTTATTACGTTAATAATTAAGTATTATTTAATTTTAATTAAATTTTATAAAAAATAATTTTAATAAAGTTTAAAAAATATTATATAAACGAGGTTAAAGATTTTATATAAGTTTAAAAAAGTGTAAAATATTTAGTTAAATAAAAAGGTTAATTAATTAAAAAGTATTAAACGTAAGAATTTTTTAATTATTTTAATAACGAAAATGTTAAATAAATAGTTTTAATATTTTATTAATAAAATTTAAAAAAATTGGTAGATTTTTAAACTTTGTTAAAAAAAGTTATATTTTTTATTTAAAACTTTAATTTAAAGATAAGTTTAAAAAAAAAAAAAATAATGTTATATAAATAATAATATTAAAAAATTATTGGTTAAAAAAAGATAATTAATAAAAAATAAAAAATAATTATTTTAAAATTTATTAAATAAAAAATATTATAAAATTATGTAATTATATGTAAACGGAATTAATATATTAATAAAAATTTAATTAAATCAAAAAATATATATTTTAAATTATTTATAAATAAGTTAAAATTTTTTTTTTAAAAAAAAAAAAAAATTAAAAACTTTAAAACTTTAAAAAATTATTAATAATCTTAATTATATTTTAAACTTTTTATAACCTTTGTTATATTTATTAAATAAAAGTTGTTTAAACGTTAATTATTTAAAAAACAATTTATTATTATCACGAAATATTGTTAAAATATTAATAATTTAAAATTTTATATAATTTATTTAATTTAAATTTAAAACCGTTTTTTTAAAAGTAAATTTAATAACGTAAATTTAAAAGTTTTACGAGAAAAAATCGTAAATATAACTTTGTAAATAAATATAATTAATTATATTTAAAATAAAAAGTTTTTAATTATATTAAATAAATTCGTAATTTTTTAATTTTAACTTAACTGTGTTTTCGTTTTTCGTTTGTATTGTTACACAATTACATTATAATTTTTTAAATAATAAAACTTATAATTATACCGATAATAATAATAGTTTTAATATGCCCGAGTTTATAAAGGGTTATTGTGTCGAATTTTTTCCATGGCCTAAATAGGAAAGTAACTCAATGGGCAGTATCTGGCACGTGCACCACTTTTTAAGCGATTTGATTGGGTGCACGACTTGTATATGTAAGGTATAGCTTAGCATTTTCGTCGAAACCAGCTCCAAAGGCTAAAATAGCTTTGATTGGGTGCATCACTTAAAAGTGTGGGCCCGACTTTAATAAGAAAAATAACGCCACGTGACCACATCTGTAGCCGCACGTGACCTAACCACATGATTTGGCGATAAGCCACCAAAAACAAAAGGGATAAACTTTCGTTTATGCTTTCGCTTTCGATGGGGGCAAAGGCAGCGGCGCGAAGCGCCGCTGACTTTGCCTGTTGAGTCATGCGTTAATTAAAAAATAAATAAAGGTGCAAGGTTGAGGAATCGAACCCGGGGCCTAGGAAGGTGTGGCCGGGATAATTTCGGGCTATAGTATAGCCAGGTGATTACGTAAGGGTTGTTACGTAAACTCGGGCTATTGTGCAGCCCCGGGGGGTTGCCTCCTGTATTACGAGTGAGATGAGGCGGTGCTTTAGAACTTTACCCCTTACTTAACTGGTTTATAGCGATTTAAACATTAGGGGCATTTGATAAACCCGGACTTGCCCTTGGAATTGATAGCTTTAATTCATACATAATGTGTTCTAGCAGGACATTGCCGTGGTTTCTTGGAATATTTTCAACTGTTAATTGTCAACGGTCGTAGGATCAATAGTTATAACAAGATAGCATAACCGGTATAGTGTGCTATTAGACTTTGCCTCTGGTTTTCAACATGTCAGGAAATAGCCGTCATTATTCACGCCTAGATCACCCACGCCGTGAGATTCGACTACTACATCTACACCCGGGTCAACTTTCGAGTCTCATCTCTTGTCATCTATCTCAATGCTCTTTGGACGATAAGCCAACATATGAGGCACTGTCCTATGTAGGTACGTATGGGATTCAAAGTCTTAGGTAGTACGCTGGATGAATAGTGCCTGGTGGGACAGGGCATGGACCGTCCAAGAGGCCCGTCTCGCCCAAGACCTCCGGATCGCAATATACCATGTCATGATACCGTTTAATATATGTATTACCCAAGGCTCAGCTTTATCTACGTCTGCATATGGTAAACCGCTGCGGAAACGAAATAGATACGCTCCTACAGTATCAACGCAATATGCTAGAAAGATTTCTCGCAAAGACAGTAGAGATTATACATACCACAGCTCATTGCTCACGACTCCCCGCGAGACCTAGGTGCTCTTCGAAGATACCGTATACGCCAAGCAACCGACTCACTAGACAAAGTCTACTCACTCCTAGGGCTATCGGTATGGAACCGAGCTGCCCTGTTGAAGCCTACCTAACTATTCCATCAATACCGAACGGCTTTACGTAAACACAACTATGAAGTTGATAGAGGATAGCGGTTCCTTAAACATTTTGCAAGGGTTACAGAGCTCTTCGAAAAGACTACATCTCCCGTCGTGGGTTCACGATTGGACTATCTAGATTGACGGGGAAGATGGGTCCCGAGAACTAGAAAGGGACCATGGGCTATACAATGCAGGCGGGCAGTTATCCAAAGCTCGTCTTTGTTGCAATTCCGGGCTCATAGTCGATGGGTTAATGGTTGACACTAAGTATTGTTACCACGATCACATAAACACCTCTTTACAATCTAGAGCTTTAGAGGAGTCTAGAACCCCCCTACTTCACTGCCCCAGACCTCCAAACACCACTGTTATGCGCGAGACTTGGTATATTCACTCCACTTCACTTCCCCTCATCATACTTATCTCATATCTACCAATCAACAAAGACCAGATCAAGACCATCAAAGCAACGTCTCGAAACGCAACCTGTTTTCCCAGTCCCTAACTCCAGTCCTGAATATAAGTCAAGTCAGGCTAAGTACCTAAGTTGCGGCGCATTCGCACCCACACCCTCCTCAATTCTTCTTAACCCTATTCCGGATTCGGCATCATCTATTTCTCTCCGGTCTCTTCCTTCTTCTTAAGACATTAACTTCAGCGCAAACGAGCGGCTCTCTCTCACTGCTCCATCTTATCCCCCTCATTCCCCCCATCATCTCCCCACAGACCCTCAAGCTTAAACTCCTTCGCCCACTCCGTAACAATCTCCTTCTGATCGGGCATAGCTGACGGCGCGCTCGCGGACCCCGCCGTAGTAGCTGAGATCTCCGTCGCGACCGGCAACACCGGCGCATCGACCCATCCCTGTATACGTCCATCACGCCAGTCCGTCACAACCGTCATAGCAGCCGCCGTGAGATTCGGCACTCCGCCGCGCCCAAGCCGTCCACGCTTCCGCGCGACCTGGACCAGGAAATCCGTCGTAGCGTCTCCATCCGCAGCCGTCATTAGCGGCGGGATGTCATACACATCCATAAGTTTCTGGAGGAGTTCCGGCGACGCCGCTAGTCTCCTAAGTAGTAGCGAGACAGCCGGTATCGGGTCGTCGATCTGCTTTGGCGGAATGGCGTTGAGAAGAACCAGGTGGGCGTGCGCCTCCACGGCGCTCTTCTTCGATGGAGCCTCGCCTGTCGGCGCAGACGCAGAAGGGAATACGATTCCGGGGGAGTCGAGAAGCGTGAGCTTGCTGTCGATCTTAACCGCGCGGATGCTTGTTGTTACACCCGCCTCGGCGCCCGCGGGGCAAGCGGCTGCGCTGCGGCCGCCGCCAAGTCGCGAGAGTAGCGCATTGATGACGGAAGACTTGCCGACGTTAGGGTAGCCGATAACACCGACTGATACGGCGCGCTTGAGTTGCTTAGTAGCGGCGAAGGATTTTAGGGACTTGAAGAGTGTGGATGAGGTGCTTTGGACGGTGAGATCGCGGTGATTGAAGGTCTGCGCATTGGGCGCGGAGCCAGAAGCGCGTAGTGGAAGTGTAGGGAAATATCTCCGTAGGTACGTGAGCCAGTCCTTGAGGACATGCGACGGGACTAAGTCGATCTTGTTGAGGATGAGTATTAACCTCTTACCGCCGCTTGCCGCGGCCATCACCATGCGCTCGACTTCTCTTGACCTCGTTCCTTCGGGGTCTCTGGCATCTAGAACGTAGAGGACGACATCGGCCTGATCTACGACTTGCTTGAAGACCTTGTCGTGGGCTTTCCGCGACGAGGATTGAGCGCGCAGTTCAGCGCTTCCATCTTCTAAATCGTCGTCTGATGACTCGTTTTCATCCATATCGTCTCCACTTTGGAGTTCGCGATCATACTTCTCGGCGGCAGCTCTGGCGCTCGCAATAAGTGCTGCCATGGGATCTGAGGAATCATCTACATTATCCTCGTCCATCGCATCATCATTGTCTTCAGAGATTCCATCGAAGTCTCCATCCTCAGCGCCGTCCATAGCATCATCGTCCTTCTCAGCTTCGTTCGTAGAACCGGTCTTCGCAGCCTTAGCTAGCTCTCTCCGGCGTTGCTGTTCCTCTTGTTTCCTTCGTCGACCCTCCTCAATCTCATGTAGGATCTTCTCCTTGTAGGGGAACAGGTTGGGGATACCCGGGTCCTTCTTCAGCTTGGACGTCCATTGTGGGTTCTTCTTGGCTTCTTTTCTGGCTTTGCGTTGCTTTGCGGCTGAGGCCTTCTCGATCTTATGCCGTAGACGAACGGGAGTCCGCTTGGACTTGGCCTCTGCACAACGAGTTAGTTGATGCGCTATTCACAAATAAATGTCAATTGGAACTTTATTAAACATACTCTTCGGTTTCGTAATATGATTGGCCATTTTCAACTTGCTGTGCCTGGCAATTGAATTGTATGTAAATTGTACTTCGAGGTTTATCAGCATAAAAAGTTTAGAAATTTGGTGTAGAAAAAATGCGATAAGCTTCTGCCGCTAGTCACCGCCCGGGATGGAACCCCACCAGGCCAGCCGATTCGCCGACCCCGCTTACCGATAAGAGAACCTCCGTTGGAGGTCCCTTAAAACTTAGATCTTTTTAGCGGTGTTTAGGCCTCACGATGGCTTCAATTTCACCGGACTAAGATACTACCTAATGTAATGGAACCGCAAGAGCGGAGTTTCCTAATTCGGTCCCGCCTATCCCGATCTGATTTTAACATATAAGTCGCTTGCCGGCGGAAAGCCAATTTCATATATTTTACATAGAAACGCATACTGCCACCTTAACTCCGATTTATTTATCTCATTCTCGCTTTTAGAATATACACTTAATACAGTACACAATAGAGCGCAAATATCATACACTCATAATGGACTACACAACGCCTCCGTTCGAGGTCTCCTTTAAGGGACTACTCTTCGACATGGACGGCACAATCATCGATTCGACAGCCGCAGTCGTCAAGCACTGGCAAACGTAAGTTTCTCCCCCGCAGGAAAAAAAAAGGGGTATCTGAGAATCGGCCCTAAGTTAGTGGTAGGATCGGAAATGAAATCGGTGTAGACCCGGAGGTCATCCTGCAGACGTCTCACGGCCGTCGGAGCATAGACATGCTCAAGATGCTCAGTCCGGACAAGGCCAACTGGGAATGTGAGTCCACGCTATACATATATATAAGTTTCATATATATAAGTTTCAATGAAGCCGCGGTGGTTGAAACGCTTCTCCCTTTTGCTCTTTTCCCCTGATCTCCTTTTACGTTGCCCCTTGCGGCCTTACTTCTCACCCCCTTTAAAATATGTTTTACTCCGCGACAGTACCTACGTCTACCCCCCTGAGTTCACCGACTAATCCATATGGTTAGATGTGAGACATATGGAGGGCTTACTCCCGAAACTGCACGGCGCAGACGCCGTCGAGATTCCAGGCGCGAGAGCCCTCCTTGACGCCTTGATCGCTGCGTCTGCGCGCTGGGCCATCGTGACTTCGGGCACCGAGCCGTTGGTAACGGGTTGGCTTGACGTGTTGAAGCTGCCGCATCCAACGAACTTGGTCACTGCTGAGTCCGTCGCCAACGGAAAGCCCGACCCAGCATGCTACGATCTGGGGCGAGAGAAGCTCGGGCTCAGTTCTGATGACAGCCCTGATATCCTCGTCTTGGAAGATAGCCCTGCTGGTATCAGATCCGGCAAGGCTGCAGGATGTAAGGTGCTGGGCTTGGTTACGAGCCACACGACCGAACAGGTACTTGCCGCCGAGCCCGATTGGATCGTCCGAGATCTGCAGTCCGTCAAAATGGTCCGAAGCGAGAAAGACGGCTCCGTGACGCTACAGATATCAGATGCCTTGGCTGTTCCATCCGCATCTGTTTCAAATGGGATTTGATGGATGAAGAACCGATAATTCAAAGACATTACAACGCCGCAATTTCCAGAGTCTTAGCAGTTGTAGCAGTAACCTAGGTGACCGGACACGCCGTCAAAGTCACAGCGTGCCAAGACATTTCAATTACATTGATGGAGGACCATTTCCTTACAATGTAGTTACAATCTTGGCATTTTCTATTCACATATACCTCCCTCGTTCGGCATATAGACTGGGATATCGGGCTTCGTAAAGCGGGCCGGGTAACTTCCGGAGTGAGCCTCCACGGGAAGACAATATAGGGGTCGACTGTAATAAATTATAGAGAGCTTATTTGGCCGAAATTATAATAGATTTAACGGGTCTGATTATATAAACAATCTTGATCCGACCTCTTGACTGGTTGGCGACCAATTTTCGTGTCTCTGTGGCTAATTTGCTGGGGGGTTTACGTCACTCGAAAGAGAAGGGAAAAAGAAAAGAAAAAGAAAGAAAAAACCCCCCGCAAGAGCTAGTAACTACAAGGCTACTAGATAGAGAGATACCTAACAAGTGATACCTATGAAAAGAAAAACGCTCCTAAATAGACGCATCTACCCCCAGTCTTGGCGCCTTAAATGCATTAATGACGATCACCAGAACTATCGGAACTTCGCAGGTCTCTTTATCCACTCCCCGCTCGAGAATGTCCACTGTACCTGGTCTGTACTTTATTAGGGCTTGTCGAGATGGAAAATGAGGCTGTCCTGCACAACGCTTATGTCTACGATACGAACGACACTAAATGGTCGTAGCGGAGAAAAGAAGAATATACACTTTCTAGGGTTGGGATTGTGGTGTTGCTGGGGGGGCATTTCCGATTCTGTGCCGTGTCTCTCCACGGAAAAAAAAGAGTCAATGACGAGCATATACCCGTCACAATTCGGAAACGATGCGAGACATACCCTGTAGAACTAGTGTGACTGATCTCCGTCTACATCTAGCGCACCTCATTAAACTGCTCTGCCGGTTGTGCTGCTGTTAAACATCGATCTTGCACAGGGGTCACGATCACGGGACGAGTTTGTGGGGAGAAAGATTGCGATGACGGAACCGTTGCGAGATGTACGTACTCTTCTTCTCCCTCACACATATAGAACATACGCATCTGCGTCTGCCACTAAGGAAGCACTTGGCTTGCAGAAGAGCAGTCTCGAAGGCGCCATTGCCCGATACCCTTCTCGGTATATTGGCTTCTAAATGCCGACTCGGGCCGGCTAGGTACTGTCGATCATTCTGATAAAAGACATACCTAGCCAGGCCACAGAGTGCTCAACGCGGTCATACTGGGGGTGATGGGGGACCGCCCATGGCGTCCGCCGTTGGGCAAGACGGAGGCCCAGCAGTCCAGCAGTGAGGGCCTAGTGGAACTGGCCTGCCACGTAACGGACTGGATATCTCAGCTACCTATGCAAAGAATAAACAAAACCCGACAGGCGGAATCTCCCTTACGTCCGCCCCCCCCGAGTCTTGTTACCCTCTTAAACCTTGTTATGACCCGAAACCATACGCGTACCTGCTTGATGGTTTCTCGCCTCAGAAAGGCATAACCATAGAAGCCATGAGAGCTGAATATGGTAATAGTGGCTTACCATGGGTCTCGGTTACTTATGGATCGGGATGGCAATTATGCGGTTCTTCTAAAGAAACATATTTTGTACGCCGCGGGATCACGAGCTTTCGTGTAAAGGGGCACCATCCCATGGCCATGGATTTGGGCTAAACTTTGCGCGCCGTTAAACAGTATGCCGGCCCGGTTATCTATGAGTAACGAGGTCTACGAGGTGGACGGCGGCATATCTGCTACCTACCTATAGTTCGCGATAGCCTTAATGGAGGGAGTGACTGCAAGGACCCGCTTCCATGACATTAGGTACCGTATGTCACATACGAAGACTTTCGAAGAACTTCGGGTTCTCGCAGCGTTGTTCGGATGAACGATCTCCAAGACATGCAGCATTTTCCCTTGGGGCTGTGTGAGCACAGCGTCGTCGGCTGCAGACTGCCAAGAGATGAAGCTGCCAAGAAATGATCTTCGCAGTTGTCAAATTGTCTGGTCGCCGACCTGAGTAACCATGGCAGTTGGCGGAAGCCCGACGTAGTAGCTGGCGAATGCGTGACCTATGCATGATCTAGACCTCGGGGCAAAGATCGGCTCTCAAGTCAAGGCGGGCGGGGGCCATGATGAGGTAGAAAGACCGTACGGATTAGATAGGTAGCGTCGCTGGTAATTGGTCGCCTTCACCGTCATCTTTACAACACGAAAAAGTAGGATAGCGGCCTAATTCCGAGCGTATCCTAAACTAAACGACCAAAGGTAACAAAGGGAACTTCCCGCTTCTCAGGTGTACACAACAAGAGCCAAGCTTTTGCGGAAGAGGAATGGTTGGCGCACTGCCTGCGCACGGTTTCTTCCAGGGGGTAGGACTATGTAGTTGCTCAAAATGATAAATCGTCATGATTAAAGATAGGATACCCTTTCCACGACGTTGCAATTCAAAAAGTAACTACTTCTTAAACGGACAAGGATATTTTTCCTCAGTAAAAGCTTAAGCCGCCAGTCGTGACACAAAGCCAATTACCCTACTGCAGGAACGGGATGCTAATAAAAGTAGTTATGAAAATAAATTTAAAAAGTAATAAATGAAGATGCAAGATTTTGCATTAGTGAGAAGGGGGTTGGTAAGAAAACACTGACTAGGTGTAACAGTATCTTTCCAAGTGGACCTGTTAAGAGGGGACTGACATAAATGATATCTCATCAAACTGGCGCCAGTCATTGGCGTCGAAGTTATCGTGAGGCTTTGACGCCGCTTCATTTCGAGCCTACCAGCTAAGAAATCGTAAGCGTTGCGCTTCTTAGAAAATAGGCAAATCGTCAATGGTGCTTTGGGGGATCGGTCGTCATGTTAAACGGCCAGAAGCTGGTCTATTTCGTTTCTCGAAACAACCAAAGCAGTTCACTAGTTCCCGTTGTCGGACTGATCGATGGGCCGATTCGTCATTCCGAGCGAGCACTTGTAAATCGAGTACACTAGGACGTAGATATGTATTCCAGCTTTACTTAGGTATGTAGGTACGTATGTGTGCGCACACCGCTAGAGTATAATGGTTGCGTTGCGTAGATGCTGTCGCAATGAGAGATCGGCGCGTACCATAATTCAACGATGCTTGGAGTTGATCACAACAAGAGTCTACGGTTGCTGCGGCCTCGTGCTCGGACCCGTCAGGTAAGAAACCCCACGCTTTTCATGTAGGCGGCTAAAGCGGAGCTGAGTTATGATATTGACTGGTGGTGGCGGTTGGGTAATTTCTCGACACGCGCAACCTCAGCTCAAATGTCATTACATTCTTCGGAACGGGACGACGCTGCACTGTTAAGATAGGTAAGTATATGTTGCCCAGAGCCCCCACGTTGCTGTATCGACAGAGTTGGGAAAACATTGTGTCCTGCAGTCCCTGTGGTAGACGACAGGTCAGCTGGATCGCATCGCATCGTATCGTACAGCCTTTCATGACAATTCGGGATGATGAAAGGCCCTAATGAAGCGTCTGCAAGAACCTTGGCTTACGGCCGTGATAGTGGGATAAGTAAAATGAGCCTGGAGATTTCCCAGCTTCTTGCCCTGGTCGGGTACTTGGAGGTACTTCGCATTGACGCAAGCCATTCCGCTCAAGTCCCAGGGGATCTCTTGTCATCAAAGTGAGATTCCACGTGGCCGCCGGGGCCAGGATATGGATCGTAATACCGCTGTGACCCCAACAACCCCTGTAGATAATCACAGAGTACGTATTTACGTTGCGTGCAGAAGCGCCAGTGATCCTCCACATTACCATTTACTAGATCGCTACTAGGTATTGTCTTCCGGGCCGCTAGGGACGATTGGACACATCTAACTAATAGTAATAATTAGTCGCGGCGGTGCCGCTGCACCGGAACACATCGCCAGCCATAACCGGTAGATGTGCTCTCAAGTGAAGGCCTAGATTTAGGAGAGGCGGCGATGAGCAAGCCACAAAGGTTCATACGTTTGTTAGATCACCGTTGCTCGTCCGCATCTCTACTAAAGTTACGGATGCACGTATCAAAACGAATACGAAATCCATTGCCACCTACGATATTCTCTTTTTCGCAGACAGCGGCATTAGTGTTGGACGTAAGGGCAAGAGAGGGGTTGCCGGCGCCGAAACTGAAGATGGTTCGTACCGCCGACTTGGGGGACATTGAAAAAATGGAAGTTTAGATGAATGCTCTCTTAGAAGTCTTCTCAGCGAGGAGACAGAAGGCCCGCGTCACATTGTTCGAGAAGCCAAGATGGCGCCTGTGGTCACACCTGAGGGAAACAGGGTTGGATTGCTCATCGCGCACATTGCCGGTTTTCCATGTCTCGAACAAGGTCTCTCTACTTTTGAAAGTAACAGAAGGACGGCGGTCTCGAAATTAATTCGGCCGTCCAAATCCTACGGGAGCGCGCGGTGAATTGGCGAAACGCTGACCTGGCCTGCCTTGCGATAGGAACGACTGCCGCCCCGGCGCCGCCAACCTCTAGAGCTGGCCAGACCCTTTTTTGCTGAAGTGATGATGATAAATCCGCTAAGATAACGGGCCAGGAGAACCGGGGAAAGGGTCCCCTAGCATCAACGTGCTCGACACGCGAAATGTAGCGTAGCATTCTGTAACCTCCGTGGATATCTAGGATAGTTTTCAGTTCTAAGCTCCGGTTGCCACATTTGCTTGTCACCTTCGATACACCCACAGTAGGGATTAGATGCGAGCTGGAGTAGGGAATGGAGTCCTGTTCGTATGGCTGATGCGCGGCGCAGGGGAGACGAAAGCTAGGAAATTAGCCGAGTGCGCCGTCCGCCCCTAAGAAAGCTGATGGAATCCCTTCTCCAATGGCTGGTTCCACCGTGACGGAGCCGTACGCTACCCAATCAACTTTTACTAAGATGCCAAGATGCCTAGCTTGTCCAATCGCAGCTCAAGCTAGGCATTTACTTTGGTAGTTAGATTTTGTACATTGCACAAAATACGGGAAGAGCCTTGCCGGAACTCGCCAGAATTGGGTAACGGTTTCGTAGTACAAGTAAACACTATACCGGTAGCTTGCCGGATGGCAGAAGCGCCGAATTCTGAGAGTAGTTCTACGTATAATCGGGGGGAGGATAGATAAGAAGAAACGATTTGAGGTTACAAGCCATGATGTAAGGCGTCTGCACCCAGCCAAGTCATCCAAGTTTGATACCACATAAGGGTGGATGGGGTCCAAGCCTTGATTGGAGGACGGACACAGTACTGACGGACCTATGTGATATCAAGCAGGATGACGGATACTCCA